TTTTAACCCAAAAAGCTAATTATGCTCCCTTCGAACTGGTTTTCTTTAAAATACAAATCTTTGTAATCCCAGGCTATCTGTAATCAGAAGCACATTTATAACTGGAATATAATTTAATTTCATTCACATGTGTTTCATAAACACATAATCCTTTATGGATTACAATCCGCCATCAAAATGATACATTTAATTATTCTGGCTGCTGTCAGAAAAGGCTATAAACGATCCACCACCTGCAGGACCCGCACATGCGATAGTCTAGTAGCCGGGACAACTTCTTTATGTTTACAGACGTTACATAATGACGCAGTGCCATGCTCAAATTTCCCACGAAAACCTACCCATTCCACTCAAATTAGAAAACATTATTATAAGCTGACCGTTGTGAATCGGGCTAAAGTAAGGCGATAGTTTTGAACACTGGCTGGTTATGTACTTGCTCAAATATTGATTTCGGATCATTTTTAACCAAAAAAAAAGTTACAGACTGCAGCTTTAAATTATTTTGATGAGTTAAAGTAATGAAAAAACATTACTATGACTTGCTGATCACATAATTTTTGGGCAAATTCTTTTTATTTACTCAATGTTATTTATTGTAGTTGTACAGGTCTTTAAAATATTATTGACCAATGTCAACTATAATCTTCTCTCAGAGTGTACATGTCCAGTGGGTTCAGTTACCATCCACCTCAACCCACCATCCGCACCACCAAGACCGAGGTTTGCTCATTCACTAAGGATGACAACACTGCCACCGGAGCTGTGGGCATCTTGACCTATGACCTCTTCCACATGCAGAACCGTATGTGCACTGAGCGTATGGCCGTTCTGTTCTCTATCCCCTTTGACTTCCACCTCTACAAGAATGTGATGGGCATCGGGTTGTTTGAGAGCAGCCGTGGATGTGACAAGGCCCTGTACAAGCACATGTATGAGGGGAAGGACTTCAGCCAGTTCACCCGTGCAGATGCGGGGGGAACTGGAATCATCCACAAAGGAAAGAAAATAGACTTAAGGGCCACCATGTCTACTGTGGGCAAGGCTATTATTAAGCTAGAGGTCTATGACAAGATGGGCTAAACAATAAACAAATTTTGTCTAAAAGTAACACATATGATTAAAATACTTTTTCCATATACTTTTTATAATCTTAAACATCATACGCATATTAAATGTCATAATGCACACGCCATTGTGCTTTCATATGTTGATGCAACTTTTTGATGTCTGTATTAATACCTGCATTCATGCTGCCCAGTTTTCTGATTGTAAATCTCAAAATGTGTCTAAATAAAAAGACTGTTTTGAATACTTATGTTTGGTTCTGTGTCACTCTGCACTACATATACATATATATACATATATATACATATACAGTGAGGTGATATTTTGGCTGACGCTTCTATTTAAAGAAACTTGTTGCATTCATAAAACATACATTAGTATACATCAATTCATAAATATATTTCATAAAGTATACATACATTTATGCACTCCTGGGGAATCAAGTCCATAAACATGTTATTGCTGTAGCATCATGCTCTACAAGCTGCCCTTTGCTTTTCACATACATTTCTTATAAGAAACATCAAATGAAATGTAATATTAAGCTATTTAAAATCATGAACCATGAACAAATGTTAACTTATATGAGCAATATCACACGAGTAGATGTGAGACATGGCTGTATATTGGCACGGCTGTGATTTTCAAACAGACGTTATCTTTATTAACAAACCACATATTTGAAATCTAAACAAGTACATTCTCACCTAAAAACTCTTAAAACTACAGGTGCATCTCAATAAATTAGAATGTCGTGGAAAAGTTCATTTATTTCAGTAATTCAACTCAAATTGTGAAACTCGTGTATTAAATAAATTCAATGCACACAGACTGAAGATTCTAATTTATTGAGATGCACCTGTATACATTCTGTGGCACAAAAACAGTATTATTTTTAAAATTATGAAATGAAGTCGGCACCAATAGCCTGGTTAGTGCGTTGACATACAGCGTGACTGCGCTCACGGTGACCCGAGTTCGATTCCCGTCTCGAGTGCTTTCCTGTCGTCTCTCTATTGTCCTATCTATAAAAAATGCAACAAAAAAAAGCCCATAAAAATATCTAAAAAAAAATATGAAAGGAAGTGAGCATATTTCGAGGCTCATTCTGTCATTATTCAAAACACATAACAGAACAAACATTCCCATCCAAACTGTTTCAAAATACTATTGTTAGTGTACTAAACACTACAAAGACTAATTATTACTAATTATCAGGAAACCTCACCTAAAACGTATTCCTGTAAATGCTGCCATACCTACTTGTTTGAATCTGAGCTTGCATAACCCCTTAAAAATTTAGTAATTTCCGAGACAGATCTGTACATGCAACTTCACTGTTCTGGTCTAACAAATCTATAACAACCAGTTTTGGGTGTGGAACTGTTCCAAGCATTTTCCCACCAATGTCATTGATGCCTCTTGAGCTGTTATGTGTGTGAGAGTGTGTCTCCATGTTTGTGTAAAGAGGGTGTACACTAAATTTGAGTAAGCATGCTTTTTTCGCAGGTGGGTATGTACTGTTCTTGTTGCTGATCATGAAGACTTGGAAAGGGACAAAGTAAAAACACAGTGACTCTTTCGGAACGCACTGTTACTGAGCAACACACACACTCCGGAGTACCACAGAGGTAAGCCTTCATTCTCCTACTTAATAATCAAAACTAAATGCTAATGTATACTTTTATTTCCATATTAAAATTATAATAGCAAGATAGTTTATTCAGTTATGGACACTTGAGCAACTCTATTTCACACTCTTTGCTTCTTTTAAAAGCAGTGCATTATAAAATTGAAGATTGCTAGAGGCACAATGGTTTTTGAAGTGTGGTCTCTGCGTGTATTTACTGTGACCCTGTTTATTCACTAGTTAACATTGACAATGGTAATAAAAGAGGGGCAGAAGTGAACTTGAGAAGAGCTATGTGAACTTAATCTAATGCTTCTATGCTTTATATTTAAGTGTATGCACAGACCAGACAGTACAGAATCTTTTTCAGTAATAAGACCTGAATTTAACACTAATTCAGCACAGCAGTTTAAATAGAGGACAATTAACTTATGACAGCAAACGTTTTATCACAGAAAAGTTATTGTATTTTCGCTGCTGCCCTGCAGTGTAAACAAAACTGCATTTCCACTGCTTTTTACTGTGAGGTACAGACTTCTTTTCTCACACCATCCCTCTCCTCTCTACTTCTCTCCGTTTCAGCCGTCAATCAGATCTATCGTGAACCATCATGACTGAGTCTGCTGAGGCTGCCGCTGCCAACGTGAGCAGCAAGAGACACGCCACCATAGAGATCGCCAACCTGACAAACAACTACTGCCTGCTCAACCCAAAGTGAGACTACAACCAGAAGCAAAACTAATGTTAAACCAAGCATTCAAAACTAAAACTTTGTATCTAAACTTCTATATGTGTAACATGTATGTATCTATTTAAGGAAAGAAGCATAAAATGCATTAAGATGGAAATTCTGTTATCACTTATTCACCCTCATGTCTTTCCAAACCTGTAAGACTTACCTTCTTCTGAGGAAATGTTGTTTTTTTTGTTGTTTTTTTTGTTTTTGCATGAAATGTTATTTTGGACCCCATTTACTGTACTTTCATTTAATTGTATGGACAAAAATAACAATTCTTTAAAATATCATTTAGTGTTCCAATGAAGGATGAAGGCATACATGTTTGGAACAGACAGAATTAGAATTTGGGGTGGTGAACTATCCATTTAAATGTGCATTTTGTGTAGCAATAAATGTGTGCGTGCTTGTGTATGATTCATGCATATAAATCCCACAGGGTCTATCTTGAGAGTGGTGAAACCTCCAATCCACCTCAGCCCACAGTGCGCCCCCTCAAGACCGAAGTATGCACCTTCAGCAAGACCAGCGCTCAGGCCACTGGCAGCGTGGGGGTTATGACCTACGACCTGTTCGAGCGAAGCAGAAATGACTACACTGAGACCCTGGCCTTCATGTTTTCTGTCCCCTGGGACTACAATCTGTATAAGAATTGGTTTGCAGTAGGCATCTACCCGAAAGGAAAGGAGTGTGACCAGGCCCTTTACAAAGAAATGTACTATCAAAAGAACCCACAGGGCTTTGTGAGGGAGGAGGCCAATGGGTCAGGCATTAACTTTGAGGGAAAGTCTCTGGACATAAGGGCCACCATGTGTCCTTTAGGCAGGGCTATCATAAAACTGGAGGTGTGGGACAAGCTGCTGACTCCTTTGAGTCAGCAGGTTTGCTAAATATAAACCAGTCTGCCATTTTACCAAATCAAAATAATATAGAAACTTTTTTTACATGCCCTTATATGTTATCACCTGTATCAAAAATGTTTGCTTATACATTTACCAGTGTAATGAATCTAGCACCATTTCTTTTTTAGCTCCCTAGCCAGCTCTTTAGGGTAATTTGAACTCTGTAAAATTATCTGAGAGTGTTTAAACTGGATCTAATACCTCTGTAATATCCCACACTTTAAACTGTTTGCTTTTTCTGTCAGAAAAACGCCTCAGATGTGTGTTTACAGTCTGCTTATGCTTCCTGCAGGCTAAATCCGCTCTCATATCAGGCAGCCATTGTGTTGTTATTCAGTCGAACCATCTTCTTGGTGATTTTTTTGCTCCCTCATCAGGGCAGAGATCCCTGTGAACAATACACACTGTCTGTACCGACTGCCACTGCTGAGGTATTTTCAAATAAATATGTATCTGCAATTTCGTAGTAATTCCTTTGCCTTTTTACTGAGCCTTGAAGGCTTGGTGCTGTATGTATTGGTGTATTCAAAATCTCGAATGAGAGCCGAGGCTGTTTGCCGTAAGCTGGAAATGGTCCTGTGTAAATATTTTGCAATATGTATTTGGAAATTCCTAATGCCTGAAGAGGGCAGCTGAACCATGGGAACCGAAAGACAGAGACGAAGATATAAAGAATGAATCACAGCATCAAAGAACTGGCAGAGCACATTTTACAGCTTTAAACTCCTCTTGTCCTGAATAATTCCTTCAGCAGGCACTGAATAATGTCTCTCCAGCTTACTCAATACTCACAATTCCCAATCAGAAACGTCAATGCTAATTTATCAGTAAGAAATGGAACTGTAATTGGAAAATTAAAGGTTTTACAAGCAACTATTACTACTTGCCTAAATCCGGACGGAGCCGATATCGATTTAACGCACTTAACAATTTAACAATCGATTTAACAAACCAGTCTTCAAGGTCAAAGAGCAAAATTTGTAGAGAGCACGCCTCAGAAGACTGCAGCACTATTAACAACATCAAAAATAAAAACAAGTCTGTTCTAAAATCTTAATTCAATGGAGTAAATTTCTTCTCAATCCATTCTTAATACTACAGCCCCACCATCACCAAATAAGAGCAATGATCAAAGGTTTCTTTCTCTATGTGCTGTGACATTTGCATGGAAAGCCATACATAATACAGGCTAAACGTCAGTTATTTAACAGATATCCCTGGAGCATTATTGCAGTGTAATAGGATGGTGGAGAACTGCTGTAAACTGATGGCAAGTGCTTTTCTGATGCTACAGTGGGTATCTTAAGTCAGGTGTGTGGATTTCCCTCACACTTGAGCTTGAAGCAGTATTCTTTTCTTTCCCTAGTGTATTTATTTTGCACTGCGAGGGGAATATTCCCCATTTTGCTTACGCTGTTGTGTATTTGTGCATTTGAGCGTGTGTATGCATGTCTGTGCACGCCACTGGGAAATGGCAATTAATATTGACACACATGCCAAATAAATTTGCACCTGTACTTAAAGGTGTACAATCTTAAAATAGGATTTAGCATATTTAAACTGAGCTAGAACAAAGTAAGCTATTCACAGAGTTCACACTTTTTCCCAAAAAGTCTAAATGCTACTGTTCTGTGCAAACATTGCTGTTTGTTTGAGACAAGGGGTCCAGTTTTGGCTGGTTATCTTCAAACGAGTCTCTGCTGGTAGATGTCATTTCGCCAGTAAATAGATGCCAAAAAGCATCTTTCTTTCTTTTTTCCATTGACGGCCATTCAAAAATAAATTTTCAGAAAATACGGACAAAAACAAGCAACACATGAATTGGAAATATTCCATTATATTACATTATATATTTTTGGAGGGCTCTTAAAGGTGTGAAATTTTGTTTGTGACTATTTTTCTGTCTGCTCTGTGAACCAAAATCCTGAAAAAGATTTTTTTCCCATTTCTATTTTTGATTTCCATTTGGAGGACAAGCTGTTTGGTCACTAGAGCTCTCACAAGGAGAAGTGGTAATTTGTGAAAGGACACACATAAAGTAAACCTCAGAGACATCTGAGGAGGGAATTGGGCAAAGGTTGTCCTAAAATGTGGGATCTGCCAGAGTTAGAGCTAATTTGAGGGTTTTCACTTTTCAGATCAGTGCACAAGATCAGTAAAGAACTGATAGTGTCGCATTTCAACTGCAGAAGGTACAGTGATGTGAATTCAAGATCATAGTAGTGTCTTAGTCCATTTTGTTGTGTCAAAGTCGAGTCCAAGTCTTTAACCAATCGAGTTGGAGTTGGAGACGTTTACTAATGTCTTGTTATCTTAAATTTATGTTGTTAAATATTACATCTTTCATGTTATACATAACCTGGACTTGACTGTACTCAGAAAAATTTATGTCAAGTTTGAGTACAAATTTACCAGAGAGCGTGACAAGTATAAGTTCATTCATAATTGACCCTTTGCAAACACCCGCCCTCCTTAGTTACTGTTGCTGAGTCCGACAAGCCATGCACTCTCACGCCACACATCATGTTCTCACGCAGTGAAAAATACATTGTGGAGCAAAGAGAAAACTGACAACACACCGACATACAAGAGAGCAGGTAACTTTTGGTATGAAACAAAGTCTCAGCTTTCAAATTGTCATTTTCTAAGAAATTCAAACAATAAAATCCATTTTGTGGCTCTTCAATGTGTCGTGACAGATCACTGTAGCACCTCATTTCAAGCGGCATTCAGACCCATGTCTTCCTCTTTACTTGTCATAGCACAAAATAAACCTGAACGAACATCAGAAGCTATCTTGTTTTAACTGCGGAAAGACATCAATACACACCACTTTTCAAGCTCAAGTCCACCAAAGTTAACCTCCTCTCCAGTCTGGTTTGCTTGTCGGACAAAATGGCAGATTCTGAGTTATGATTGGTCAGATCGCCTGTCAATCACATGCCCAGCGAAGGGTTAATGGGACTCAAGTCCGGACTTGATTCAGAGTCCGACATTGAGTACCCCAACTCTGGATCACAGTGAGAAGTCCAAGAAGTCACCTTACTCGATATCAGCGAGATGTTAATTGTTATGTAATCTGACACTTAAATGCTCAAGCTCTTAAAAGGTGGATAAATTCAGATTGGCTGTCAATGCTTTTGTTGTTCATCCATTGGAAAAAATTGTTCCGAAAGGGATTCCATTGATATCATTCCTCTGTGCCGTTCTCATTACAGCTGTGGTTTGGACTTCCCCGTTCTCACATAATGAGAATGATTATTAAAACATCTTCCTATGAACAGGCCTTTACACTGCATTCAAAATACACATTTTATTACATTCCCTGGGAATCTAAACTCAAAAATGGTTAAACACATACTTTAAAAAAGAATACAGTCTTTGTCTTAAATACAGCAGTAATGTCCATACATGTACAAGACAGCTGTGATCACAAGTAATTATCTTTACATGCATTGTGAATACTTTTCTTCAACATTTTCTACCAGAAACTTCCACAAGGCCGGTTGCACAAGAAACATACATTTAATTTTGAGTCTGAAAATAGATTCATATTGGTAAATCACAATTCAATGGGGTTTACTGCTGCTATATGCTATTTGCTAGAGGCCCTATGCTCCTTCTTGGAGTCAGCGGAATAAGAAGATTTGCTGTGTGAGAGTGCCACTGTGTGGAAGGATGAGGTAAAGTGACTCATGCAATATGCATACAATAGGATGCTATGAGCTGTTAAGAGCCATGTATAAGATACAAATATATAAAATAAATTTCATATAAATAAAATAGACAAGAAAGCTTTCAGTTTAACATTCAACTATCTTTTGCTCACAAAAGGGAAGAGTAAAAGAGAAAAAGACAGAAGCGAGTCAATGTGTGTGTGTACTTGTGTTTGCTTCAAAAATTATTTACCGCATATTTGAACTGTGCTTCAGTTTTTCAGTGGTTCTTGGGCAGCAGGCCTCCATACTGTTCTCTGATCTCAGCGATGGCAGCATTCAGACGCGCTGTAGGTGCTGTGTCAACCCCCACCAGCAGACGCCCACTCGGTTGTGTCCAGAATGACAGCATCTCCTATACCAACAAGAATATCAACAAATCCAGCAGAGTACCATCTACCATGTTCCAGATATACATGCGCTGTACAATACAGCAAAAGAAATTATCTGTTCCATTGCTTCATACACATCTTGTTTTATCTTTTGATTTTTTATCAGCATTTATCAGAATTTGAACCACACATGAACTTTCATCTAACACAGTTAATACTTGCAGAATATGTAACCTTTAAAAGCAATCAAATATGCCTTTTAAGTGAGGAAAGAGATTAAAAGACATGTTGTAAAACATTAAACTGTTGTAAACATTATGGTAAGCAACACTGTCCACAAAAAAAAAAAAAACAATGTTGAATGCAGATAGGCCTACTAAATAATGCTATTATTAAGAGATTAGTAGCTTTAACAAAAAAAAAAAAAATGATAGCATTAGGCTACTTGTTGGTTAAGCATTTAGGCTACCAACAAAGTTTGGGCACGTACACAGGAGTCAGCTACAACCTCACAAGAAACTAAATAATTGGCATGTACCTGTATTATTCGGAATATTGAATTACTTATTTATTTAATCGTTTTAACACGTGACTTGTTATAGTGCAAAACAAGTCACGTGTTAAAACGATTGAATAAATGGTCATTTATTCAATATATATTTTATAATATACAATAAATTCAATATATTTATTTCATATATCAGCTCAGTTTTATTTTACATTTGATGAGACATTTGCGAAATAAATGTCTTACCTAAGCGCGAAGGTAAAGTTTTTCGTAACACCAGTCATTGACGTAATATTCAAGCGCCGACTACAGTGTTTAGTAAACGCTATGCGCGCGACACCGCCCACCTAGATCCTTTCAATGACATTTATCGATTTTTCCGTTATCAAAAACAATTGCAAACATGCACAGGTTTGTCAGACCTCAGCTTTTGCTTTGTGATTCTAAACAGCCATTATTACCGACAGCGGGTCAACTTTGTACAAATCACAAATGTAAGTGTTACCGAGACAGTTTCATAACGCTCCGGTTACTATCGTAACCTCGGTTCCCTGAGAGCGGGAACGAGACATCACGGAGATATTTCTCCGTTATGGGAACTCCTTCCCTTCCAACCTTTCCTGGAGTCCTATTGGCTCCCGCCAGTCCAAATGACTGGCCGATTGACGCGAAGTATGCAAATCGCATGCAAATACTGACGAGCTCGAGAGGCAGTATAAAATGCGGTGCACGCGACAATTACGTATAATGTCATTTCTTGTATATATAATATATTTAAGTGCTCAGAGCTTCTGTATATTAAAACAAACTGCATGTGTGTTTGTGTGAACACACCAAGAATGTTCTTTCTATGGTACTCACTTACCATTGCATGTTTGTGTGACTTTCAGCTGTTGTGTCCAGTGTAAGGGCATATGTTGTATTGCCTCCCACCAATGATGAAGAAGAAAAAGCCATGCTTCACAGGATGATGAGAGTGGACCATGCAGGAGAATATGGTGCCAACCGAATCTATGCTGGTCAGATGGCTGTTCTTGGCCATACACAAATCAGTCCACTCATTCAGGTATCACTCCATAAACCAAAGCTGGCAATTATTACACAAAGATTACCATTTCCCTATATCACATTTGGAAGGGTTGTTATATAAGTTTGTTTAGAAAGAACAGCGTTCAGTGAGGTCTGATGTAATATGGAACTAGGCATTCAATGTGATGATATATCAATTAAGGAAATGTGGGATCAAGAGAAGCAGCACCTGCGAAAGTTTAATGAGATACTGGCTGAGAACAGAGTGCGTCCGACCCTCCTGCTTCCGCTGTGGAACATAGCAGGATTTGCTCTTGGTAAGTGTGACCTTTACAGTATTTATTTATATATATATATATACAGTGGGTACGGAAAGTATTCAGACCCCCTTAAATTTTTCACTCTTTGTTATGTTGCAGCCATTTGCTAAAATCATTTAAGTTAATTTTTTTTCCTCATTAATGTACACACAGCACCCCATATTGACAGAAAAACACAGAATTGTTGACATCTTTGCAGATTTATTAAAAAAGAAAAACTGAAACATCACATGGTCCTAAGTATTCAGACACTTTGCTCTGTGTTTAGTAGAAGCCCCCTTTTGATCTAATACAGCCATGAGTCTTTTTGGGAAAGATACAACAAGTTTTTCACACCTGGATTTGGGAATCCTCTGCCATTCCTCCTTGCAGATCCTCTCCAGTTCTGTCAGGTTGGACGGTAAACGTTGGTGGACAGCCATTTTTAGGTCTCTCCAGAGATGCTCAATTGGGTTTAAGTCAGGGCTCTGGCCGGGCCATTCAAGAACAGTCACAGAGTCGTTGTGAAGCCACTCCTTCGTTATTTTAGCTGTGTGCTTAGGGTCATTGTCTTGTTGGAAGGTAAACCTTAGTTCCAGTCTGAGGTCCTGAGCACTCTGGAGAAGGTTTTCATCCAGGATATCCCTGTACTTGGCCGCATTCATCTTTCCCTCGATTGCAACCAGTCGTCCTGTCCCTGCAGCTGAAAAACACCCCCACAGCATGATGCTGCCACCACCATGCTTCACTGTTGGGACTGTATTGGACAGGTGCCTGGTTTTCTCCACACATACCGCTTAGAATTAAGGCCAAAAAGTTCTATCTTGGTCTCATCAGACCAGAGAATCTTATTTCTCACCATCTTGGAGTCCTTCAGGTGTTTTTTTAGCAAACTCCATGCGGGCTTTCATGTGTCTTGCACTGAGGAGAGGCTTCCGTCGGGCCACTCTGCCATAAAGCCCCGACTGGTGGAGGGCTGCAGTGATGGTTGACTTTCTACAACTTTCTCCCATCTCCCGACTGCATCTCTGGAGCTCAGCCACAGTGATCTTTGGGTTCTTCTTTACCTCTCTCACCAAGGCTCTTCTCCCCCAATAGCTCAGTTTGGCCGGACGGCCAGCTCTAGGAAGGGTTCTGGCCGTCCCAAACGTCTTCCATTTAAGGATTATGGAGGCCACCGTGCTCTTAGGAACCTTAAGTGCAGCAGAAATTTTTTTGTAACCTTGACCAGATCTGTGCCTTGCCACAATTCTGTCTCTGAGCTCTTCAGGCAGTTCCTTTGACCTCATGATTCTCATTTGCTCTGACATGCACTGTGAGCTGTAAGGTCTTATATAGACAGGTGTGTGGCTTTCCTAATCAAGTCCAATCAGTATAATCAAACACAGCTGGACTCAAATGAAGGTGTAGAACCATCTCAAGGATGATCAGAACAAATGGACAGCACCTGAGTTAAATATATGAGAGTCACAGCAAAGGGTCTGAATACTTAAGACCATGTGATATTTCAGTTTTTCTTTTTTAATAAATCTGCAAAAATGTCAACAATTCTGTGTTTTTCTGTCAATATGGGGTGCTATGTGTACATTAATGAGGAAAAAAAATTAACTTAAATGATTTTAGCAAATGGCTGCAATATAACAAAGAGTGAAAAATTTAAGGGGGTCTGAATACTTTCCGTACCCACTGTAAATAACTTGCCCTAAGGGCAAGTTATTTGTTTTTCAATTTTTTATTTATTATTTATTTATTTTTGCCCTACGGGCAAGTTATTTATTTTTCATTGGCTCAAGTTAAAAAAATATAGATGTGAATCATTACCAAAAAAATTTTTTAATTGGATGAATGAAACATTTTTTTCAGTGTA